GGCCCCCCGAAAACTCTTCTGAGGGATCAGGATACCCGCTTCATTAGTTTGCAATGGAAATCTCTCACACCCGAACTTTATGAAGCAGGGCTGGTCAGAACTTCAGATCATCACATGGAAACTAAAGGACAAGCTAACAAAATAAACCAAACAGTCACAAAGTTATTGTGAACCGAGGAATCTTCATAACCATTAGATACATTCAGCCACCAATATGACCCCATATAAGTTGCAGGTCGGTTGCCCAATTCGCAATCATCTCGACTACTTAATGCCTGATTGACACAGTGGCCTTACCCCTGGCATGTTTGGCTACCATATGAAGTACCAAAAATTGTTTTCACGCATTGTCTCCGCAATGCGCAAAAAAGCCACAGGTTTGGTCAAACATGCGAATAAGCGATAGTAACCTGCTACGTTCAAAGACGGAGACTATGCCAAGGTAAAGATTATAGGAGATGAGAATTGCAGACCTTCCTACGCCACTGATGACCCTCCGCATTTACGAACGTATTCGGTGTTTCATGCATCTAAACTTTATCCCTCCACTAACTCGGATGGATTTCCCTGTAGACTACCCATGGTTCCACGCCCCACCAGTGATGGCATCGAGTTTGATCGCATCTCCGAACATAGAGGTAAAAGACCAAAGCGCCCGTATCTGGTGCACTTTGTGTATCATCCACTCGATGATCTTCATTGGATTTCTCGATCTAAATTGCAGACCACTGCACCTAGTATCGTCAGTGCATATAAGCACAGATTGATGCTTGATTACAGCATGTGCGAGCGTACGCTTGTGTTTTACATTTTGCGCCTATGATGAATTATGTGGAGATCACTGAGTCCTTTCTATATTGAAGGCCCCTTCCAATCAGCGGGAGTGCAATGACCAGTACAGATTTATGTTGCTTCTTAAGAATTGTTGCTTGATGATTTGATTTGCTGAGATTTGTCTTTTAAGTGAGAATGTTGTTTGCTTGCATTAGTGTAAGTCCCTATGCGATGATTGCTATACAGAATATTACAGAGTACTAACTGTGTTCTCGTGGAGTGATATCTCTGTTCCGAGAGCAGGTAGGGGTTTTTTTTTTTTTTAACAGAACCTTATGGCTTTGGCTCCTTTTCCATTCTGGGGAGCATCAGTCCGGTTCCTATTCCACCGGCAGGTCAAAGGAATTACATATAGGAGTCCCACACGCTCTTCCCCTTTACTGTAGGAAAGTCTGAGGGACGACATTGATTGCACTTCCAGTCGGAAGGATGTACCACCCCACACCCCTGCCTAGGTTAGCCTGATCTCCGTACGTGCCCATAAGTCGGTCATCGTAAACCACCCCGCTTTCCTTCTTTGCCCAGATTCAGCCTAAGCCCCTTCGTCCTCCAATTCCCCCACCCACTCATTCTTATTACTGTCTCTACTATCTCTTCTCCCAAGTGTTGGACTAAACGGTGCAAGATAAGGTCTGACTAAGTAGTACAGCGGTTCGGGTGTCTCTCCTCCAAAAGCCGCCCCCATGCCACACAACACTATACCAGGATACCCTAGAGGATGGGGCAAACCACAGGCTGGGCTGTGCCTTCCCCGGTCACACGACCGATTTTCGGGTACTGTCGTCCGCTCACCTTCGTCGATGGACCAGGAGAGGCTTTATTGCGATATTGCATGTCCCATGTCCAGCCCTTGCTGCTCCGTCGGATGTCCCAACCATCGGAGGCAGAGCTTGTCCCCTGTTAGT